ATAAAGAAGTGATAACATTTACATACCAACCTGTCAAATCGTAAGTCAGCCATTCTGTAAAGTCAGATTAAGAGGAACATGCACTTCATCTTTCATTTAAGAAAGCGACAGAGATGTGAAAACGACAACACATGACCTGTAACTCCGAGGTGCTCCTGATGCAGCTGGGAGACATGATGGCTACTTGTTCTAGTCACAGTGCTGGATGCTTCATCACGCCCTAGTCCCTCAGAATTAATCTCCACACGAAAGCCATAATTATGTATTATCATTCTGATTATACAAACGAGGAAGCAAATTCACCGAGGCAAAGTAAAAACAGTTAAATGCCACAGTTAGAATATGAAATCAAATGTATTGCTAAGGCATGTCCAGTGGTTCTCAATGAGAGGGGGTCTTGCCTTCTTGAGGACATCTGATAAAGTTCAGACCCACTTTTACCTGTCACAGCTGAGGTGGCGGTGGCTGATACACAGTCATCTAGTGGGTAGAGGCCAGAGATGCAGCTAAACACCCTACAATCATGGGACAGGTCCGTACGATAAAGAACTATCCAGTCCAAAATGTCATCACAGTGCCAGGGTTGAAACACTTTGGCCTATTAAGACCCTGCAATTGTTAGGGAAGAACCAAATGCAGGCCACGGGCTTCCTGAAGAGGGAAAAACACCACCTTAACTGGGCAGCATGAGAAACCTTCATCACAGAAGTGGTATTTTGGTTGACTCTTTAGCTAAAACATGGGTAGAAAAGAAAGCATGGTATTTTCAGCAACAAAAAAATTATCAAAGATGTGAGTAGGAGGTGAGTACTCTCTCTATAATCCTACCAAAGAAAACCAGTAAGAATCTATGATTAAAAATTCTGGTACATTGGCATGTATTTATAAAATGCTTGGGACATCTTTGCATATTCATAAGAAATGAGTGACTTGACTGACTTCAGGAGGGAAATTTGGTACCTGAAGGACATACATTTTAGAACAGTTTTGTGTATTACCTATTTAAAAATTAATTAACAGACAAAAATTTACCTTCCAAGATATAAGAAATGAACTAGGATTTGTAAGAAAAAACATGGGCTGACACCAGATGGCAGAAGAAGGAAGAACAGTTTTAACTCTTATTGGACATTTAACTCTTATTTGTATGATTCAAACGAATTATATGCTGCTTGGCAAAAAGCATGAACTTCAAAGCCATATACTAGCTGCGTTTGAATTCCTGCTAGACCACTTAATACTCTGTAAGTTACTTCCTGATTAGGGGCAAGTAATTTAACCCCTCTATGCCTCAGTTCCACTTACATGAAATCAGGGAAGTAAAGACACCTACTTCACAGTTACTGTGAGAATCCAATGAATTAAAATTTGCAAAGTCTTTAGAACTATGGCACACAGCAAACACTAAATAAATATTTGCAATTATTAATAGGGGGATCCCTTTATATCTTAAAAATCTAGTAAGGACATTACATTTATTATTCTCATTTATTTATGATGAGATTGTGGCCGAAGGAGGCTAAGTTCGCCAAAGTCCTCTTGCTAAGGGACTTTATCACTCCATATATTGTTATATGAAAGTCAAGAAGGTTAAGCCTTAGACAACAGGGGACAGGCAATCACCAGAGGTTTATATATGAGGAGTGTGAATTATTAAAGTGCAGTTTTTCTTGGAAAGGTAGCTGCCAATGGAAAGGAGACTAAACTGCAACAGGCAAGTAGAAGAGGGCCAGACCCCAGGAGAGGAGAGAGAAGTATATGAGCCCAGGATGGTGACAATACAGGGAACATCAGTGTAAAAGACATGGTGCAGGAGGGACTGGAGGCCAGGGGACTGGAGAAGCACAGCAGGTGACACAGGCATAGGGATGACTGACACGAGGTCAGCTACACCTGACTGTGAAGGCAAAGGAGACACACAGAAAGACTATTAGAATGGTGGCCCTGCCATGTCTTGTTCTAGAAAGGGACATAACTATGAAGGTCTATTAATAAAGGATCTTCCCAGAACTACCCAGGCATCAGAAATACAAAAGCCATAGGCTGAAATCAGAGGGAACAAAGGGAAATTCAGGTACATAGATTATTAACAAGGAAATATAATAATTTACCACTTTGAAAGCTAAAAGTTTAGAAAAAATATCCAGATTCCATAATAATATTTTTCTTAAATAAAATTAAAGATGGGTTTCACCCTAAAAGAAAACTTCTACTCACAAATTCTAAAAGAACTAGTGTACACCATATCAAATCAAAATTTCACCTTGTAATTTTTCTAGAACAGTAAAGCCCAAGACCCCTTTAGTGTACAAACCAGTGTACATGAATCACAGGAGGATACTACATTCATTACATCACTTCTTCGATCAGCAAGTATGCATTAAAGTTCCAACAGATTCCAAAATTTTACTTATAGGTTTACAACTCTCTTACTGGGTTGGCCAAAGAGTCTATATGGTTTTTTCCAAAAAGTAAAGGACACATTCTCCATTTCCACCAATAACTATTGATTTGGACATTTTGAGTATGTCTGCTATCTCCTGTGTGGTATAACACTGATTGTTCTCAATTAATGTCTATATGATCGCTATTACCTTCAACCGGTCTATGCGACTGTGGAGCATCAATTGGCAAAAAATCTTCAGCACAAAACTTGGCAAACCACTTTTGACTCGTTTGATTAGTCACACACCTTCTCCATACACTGCACAAATCTTTTTTTTTTTTTGCATTTCTGTTGCATTTTTACCTTTCTTGAAATAATAAAGCACAATATACCAAAAATATTGCATATTTTCTTCCATCTTCAATATTAAAATGGTTACACAAAAATTCACCAATTTTAATACGTTCTTTTTTATTTTTTAAAAGACTTTATTTATGCCCTGGCTGGTGTAGCTCAGTAGACTGAGCACAGGCCTGTGAAGCAAAGGGTCACCAGTTCGATTCCCGGTCAGGGCACATGCCTGGGTTGCAGGCCAGGTCCCCAGTGGGGGGGGGACACGTGGGAGGCAGCCACACATTGATATTTCTCTCCCACTCTTTCTCCTTCCCATCCCCTCTCTCTAAAAATAAAATTTAAAAAAAGACTACTTATTTATTCGTACAGAGAGGGGAATGGAGGGGAAAAGAGAGGGAGAGAAACATCAATGTGTGGTTGCTTCTCACATGCCCTCCACTGGGGACCTTACCTGCAACCCAGGCGTGTGCCCTGACTGGGAATCAAACTGGCAGTCTTTCAGTTTGCAGGGTAGCACTCAATCCACTGAGCCACACCAGCCAGAGCATTGTAAACTCTTTTTTAACATGCACGCTGATATGACAGCTGTCATAATACAATCTAAAAAAAATTGTTTTGAAGTTAAAGACTACTACTAAGGGCTACTAGAGCATCTTACAGGGAAAAAAACAAATAAACTTTTTGGTCAACCCAACACTTGTTAAGAAAGGCTAGATTTTGTTTTCCCATTCTGGAATACAAGATATACGTCAATGACTCGTCTGCTAATTCACTCTCTTGCACAGCCAAGTCCAGGTTGTGGTGACTTAGTCAGTCACCTTGAGCTACAGTAAACATCTTTGAAAGTATAGTGGTTCAAGGGAATAATATCAGTGGAACCTGTATGAAATACATACACGATGGCATTTCTAAAATTACTTATTTTTTATTACAATATGTAACTCTTTTTACATTTTTAGGGTTTAATCAAGGATAACTAAGAATTTTTTTAGAGTTTTGACAAGTGATATTTTCAAAGTTGTTACTAACATAAATACTGAAATGGCATTTAGGGATCAAGTAACTCCAAGCAACATATTAATTTTCCCAAGTAACATCTATAATATTGGAAGACAAGCTGCCAATTTACAGTATAAAAGGATAAGGAAAATAAAGAGATGAATACACAGGCTGAATAAACAGTTACCTATACACAATTTCAAAAGCAAGATCTATGATGCTTTCGTTAGACAAATTTTATCAAAAATTTTATTAAGTGGTTATAAAACCTACTTTTACACATGTATGGAAATACTATGTACAGTTGTTAAGAAAGTTCTTTTTTAGGCCCCTTTCTTTGGGATTTACAATTGTGAATCATTTCCTGATTCTTTTCCTATTTAAGATTCTGGACAAAGGCCTCTTATTTCAGGTCTGGAACTCTCAGGCAAATCTAGTTCTTGAGATGCAGACCTGGGAGAAATGGACTAGCTTCAAACCACTTAGTCCTCTTCCCAAGCAAACCAAAGAACCTCCTTGATCTATACATTACTCTGAAGGGGTATATACACAGTCATTACCTATTATATCAGCATAGGTAACCCAGGGTAAGTCATTATCTGCAACATTCCTAATTTAAGCTGTAAGGGCAATGAGTGGAATACAGTGGTATATTCCATAGAGAAAGATGAATCTGGTAAATTCTAAATAGAAGAAGACTTTCCACATATGTATACTTTCATTTTACAAATACTTGCTAGAACATCAGTGCTGAACCAGACTCCAGCTGAACATTTCCTTTTGTCAAAGGTAGATTGTATGTTTTGTATGTAACAAACATACAATCTAACAAACACTCCTTATTATCTGTCATTTGCTGCCTTCCAATATCTAGAAACAGCAAATAAACACACACTTTTTATTTCTTTTGAATTATTTTCTAAGGAATGAAGTGGGACATTTTATAACATGATACTGGATAAAGCAAAGTTTCACTATACCATATCACTACCTTAAAAGAACCAATATGCCCAAAGAAATGTGTGCCTGATATTTACTTATTCCTCCCTTTACAAAACAGAATGGCGCATCATTAAATATAAAACTGATTTAATGAGTTCAAAATGTCCTGTACTATAATATATATGTCTGTTTTAAAAACAAAAACTATATATATTAAAGTTTACATGTACTTGTTTGTTTTAAAAAAACAAAACAGGAATTCATGTTGAAAGTCTAGCCCGTTCGGTACTGAGGGTGGGGCTGCCCTCGTGAGCCTCACCTGTCGAATGATGCTCTTCACACAACGTACTGGAAGGCCTTGATAGTTGGACTTGATGATCCACTTGAGGAGATGGTGGCCAAGCACTTCAAAGACCATGCAGACATCTGAGACCTGGTTAAGGTTCACTTGTTGGATGCATTTCCTGGAGTGATACAATTAGTAAAAGCGGCATCACTGTGGCAACATCAATACTTTCAATAATACCAAAAGTGGTAATTCGCTATTTCCCATCTATATAAAACAATCTAACATTTACTAAGTACATATTATGTGCCATATATGATTTAATGTGTACTTTTAACAACCTTAGGAATTAATGTACTTACCTCCAGCTGAGGAGAGCAAACCTCAGCTGAAAGAACTGTGCTATGCTACACACAGTCTGAAGGCGGCTGCACTATGAATCAACCCCACACTTCCCTGTGCTCTCCTGCATCTTAGCAACCTCCTCCAGGACGATCAGCCTTACTGAAAATGAGCAAGAGTAGATAGAACCTCACAGTAATTAATGAGAAATAAAGAACTCCCATCTTAAATGTCCTTCCTGCCTGCATAAATTCCTACTCTGCAGATCACAGAAAACACTTTATGAAATAGAAAATTACCGAACACAGTAAAGACATTTAATATTTACCTTCAATAATATCTTTCATTGTGTAACTAAATCAATTTTAATACTATAGACAGTTTTAAAAATTTATGATGACAATTTAAGACATGGTATTAAGACCAACCTATAATAATAAAATCTCAGGATTCTGGGGATTTTTTAAAAACAAAAATTCTGTCAACCACTGACCCTCCAGGACTATGGCCCACCATACAAATATGTTATGTCATTAATACAGGAAGATTTAAAATGGCTCTGAAACCATCTGAGAATATTTTACTCCTCCCTGGAAGCCTATGGATAAGTCAGTAAAGAAGGTTAGTTGATTTAATGTTTTACACTACCTACATCTACATCATCAGAACAACTACTGCTTTAAATATTTTTAAGAAAAATATTTCTACAATGGTGGAGAACATGTGAACTACAGATTTATGCACAGACAATCTAACACCAGAAATTTCTCAGTACTTCCCAGGCATATTACAAATAGTGGCAAACTAAGGACTATACTTAGTAGCAGATACAGAGCCAAAGCCTAGGATTTCTGCATTATGACTGACCTACATCATCTCAATCCACTGACAAATCTAAACTATGATGGTTTCTTAATCACAGTATGAACAGTCACTAGAATGTAGGTATTTTTAAAATCTCCATTTATCTACACATCAGGTAGATTCTCCAAAGAAATCGCCTCCCCTGTCAGTGGTCCCAGAAACTGCCTGACACATCTGATGCAAGAAGAGGGGCTGCCCTGCCTACATATAACCTGGCAGGGCCAGTTGGAAAGCAGGGGCAGAGCAGGGTGCGCTGGACTTTTCCATCTATCACCAGGGGAAAAACGCACCCAGCAGTTGCAGAAGTGATACTGATACAAACAGCGAAATGGCATTAGCAGTCACTGGTACCTGCCAGTAGCATCTGAGTCTGACCTCTAGAAGAAATACAGGCATACCTCGTATTATTGTATTTCACAGATGTTGCATTTTAGTTGGTGTTTTTTATTTTTTACAAGACTTCCTCTACCAATGAAAAGATCACGACTCACTTTATTGCGGTGGTTTGGAAGTGAACGGGCAATATCTCTGAGGTACGCTTGTACAAAAACTTCAAATATGTAGGACATGAGGGAGTGTTTCCCTAAGAAATGAAGACTTAGCAGAGGAAGAAACAAGATGTCATTCTGCAGTTTAAGTTGAGATTCAGCTTTGTCCTCAGGCTTCTGAAGCTTGAGCAGGATAAACACCAAAATGTTGGATCTGTTCCAAACATGATATAAAAAGATCAGGAAGAAGACCAGGGCTCTCGACACATCCCTGGCACTCATAAGTCACAGGGCTCAATATTCCTGAACCCTGAGAGATGAAGGTACAGTAGCTCTTCCTTATCCAACAAAGATAAGTTCCAAGACACCTAGTAGACGCCTGAAACCACATGCAATACCAAATCCTGTAAGTACTATGATTTTTCTTATACATATATATCTATGATGTTTAATACACAAATTAGGCACAATAGGAGATTTACAATAACTAATAATAAAATAGAACAATTATAATAATGTACTGTAATAACTGTTATGTGAATCTGGTCTCTCAAAATACCTTAATGTGCTACACTCAATCTTCTTCTTGTGATGATATAATATTAAAATACAATGCCTATGTGATGAGATGAACTGAGGTGAATGGCATGGCATTAGGCAATTATCGAATGCAAGCTCTGGGACATTACCACAGTCAATCTGATAAATAGATTCAGCTACCATCCAGGGGGCAAATAGTATACACAGCATGGATATGCTAGACGAAGAGATGATTCAAGTTCCAGGCTAAATCAAGAAAGGTGAGATTTCACCATGCTACTTAGAATGGTGCACAATTTATGAATTACGTCAGGAATTTTCCAGTTAACATTTTCAGACTGCAGGTAACTAAAACTGCAGAAAGAAAACCTCAGATATGGGGGGACTGCTGTATCACCTGCCTCAGGCAAACAAAAAGCTATCTTAGATGATCCAATAGGAAAATATGGAAAGAGCACTACCAATATTACCTGGATAAAAGGCACTATCTCTTCTTTCCATTTGTGCTATGAGCTCAGTCCTATTGGTCCCGGTTTACTCCACTGTCACTGACCAGAGGCTGCCCTTTATTAATGCCCCAGGCAGACGGAGGGTGAAGAGAACACCACAGTTCCTTTCTACAATGTCTAATCACCACCTCCTGAGCATGCCCCCCAAACTAACAAGAATGCAAACTTACCAGTAACCCAATCAAAACTGATATTCTCAAAAAAAAAAAAAAAAAAGGAAGCCATAAGACACCTTTGGTTCTACCTTCTTACTAAACACATTTCTAATAGGACCTAAAGTTTGAACAAAGCCCTCTCTATTTAAAAGCAACAAGAACTAATTATATCGCTAAGAAACTTCATCTTTCAAAAATCATTCATTTCCAGCAAGATAATTTATTTTTGAGAAAAGTAGATAAGTTATTCTAATGAAAAAGTTAAAAAAGTAAATTGAACAATTTAAACAATTAAAGCAAGATGATGCGGACTTATGAAGAAGAGATGATACTCAGAGGAGAAAATAACATTGTTTGTTGAAATACGATTCAAGCAAGCCTTTAAAAAACTCATTTTTCCATTACACAGGAATTTTGTATCAAACATGACATGATACCACGAAATTATTTTTATTTGATGAGTTTTGTGATCTTTTTAAGTCTGTATGTTTTTCAAAGATGCAAATGTCAGTTTGCATCTTTGAGATAAAAGAATATGCCTTTTAGGATTTGTTTTGAAATAATTCAGCAAGAGATAAAGGGACTATAGCCAGAAAATGGTAATTACTGAATTTGGGTGATAGATTTACAGAAATTCACTGCAGCACCCTGTCTAATTTTATGCATGTCAAGAACTTTACATTATAAACGTTTTTGATGAAAAACAATGGAGGTCTCTTTCTACTAAGGACTGGCCTATGTCAGATTTAATAACAAGTATAGAAAATGCATCACTTTGAGACAGATTGGTAAACCAGGACAACCATAGGGAAATGAGACAGGTAGTTAACTAGCCAAGCAGTTTACAGCCTTCTAGTAAATCCCAAAATCCTATCTTCTGTAACCAAGGACAATAGGAGTAAATAGTTTACACTTCTCTTCCCCAACAAAGGTAAACAGCTTAAATCACCCTACTCAGAGAGGTAGATAGTAAAAATCTAATTATTGCCATTTGCCAAGCACACCCAAGGACAGATAAAGTTAAGGGAATAAATCTCATTTTGGCACATCAGCTTAAGAGTGATGCATATTCTATTGAGATCCTCTGCTAGGACCACCCCATAAACTCCCAGCAGAGGACAGAGCACACACCTTTCTTCCCCCACAGACCTGCAACTCCTAAACTCTGAGGGTCACCATGAGACCTGGAACCAGGGAAGCAATGGGCAGTGTGTGGTAGCCCGGTGGGGCCAGCCCCCTGATCCTGCCTCCAAAGCCTCTTTTTTCACTTCCCAGAGAGCCAAAGAGGCCCCCCAGACTCTCTTCTTATTGCTTCTACTGCACATCCTTCCTTTGTTTCACTGCCCCCAGCTTTAATAAACATACTCTTAAAATCGCCTGAACTCATGTTGTAAAATCTTTTCTACACAAAGTCAACCACTCACACACTATAGGCCAGCCAGAGGCAGACCAGCTCTGGACCGACCACCTTTCTGGTAACTACTTTCACCAGACTTTCCCCAAGTAGACAAACTAAACAAAACCAAACTACCATACTTCCATGTTCACCTAGCAGAAAGATGGTGCTCCTCAGGATCAAGTGTGACTTTGCCATGTTGATATTAGCAGAGTTAGTTCTCCTTTCATTGCCTCAATCAATTCTTTGCAGGTACTGAAGGATACCTGGCCCTTCTGTGCAAATTTTTTAAAGTTTAAAGCAAAAAGAAGTGCTGGTATATGCTTTCATCTACCTCTGCCAAAATAAACTTCACTCGAATTAATAAAATAAGATTAGTAATTAATTCTACATGAAAGTCAAGTGCTATAAAAATAATTCTGTAAGCTGTCACTAAACCAAATATCACAAAAGGCCCTCGCAGGGCACTCTAGGCCTGTCGTTTGATAACACTCCGTGACGACACTGGAGGCCTGCGGTGGAGAATGACACAGCAGGGCAAACAGAAGTTTGTAAGAGCTTGAAACATCCCCGTTTTCCAAAAGCCCATAGAAAAACTACAGTATAATGCATCCATTAGTAAGCAAAGAAATGTCAGAAAGGATACGTATTCCATTCATGCCTGAAATCTTGAAGTCATCAATTAGTTGTACTACCATGTCTTTATTTGGGTCACTGGGATCACTTTCTCGAACCTATGGAAAGAAAAATGAGTCAAGAACAGAAATGTTTAAGACAAAGTCATTTCCATTACACCAACCAAAACAGTTTTAATGTAAGTGAGATGGATTTTAAAACAAAAGATTCGATATTTGAACTTATAAAACATAAAATCAATTTTAATTTAGTAAAACCCAGAAAAATCCCTCTATGAAATTTTAAGTCATTAATGTGTCTTCTTTCATTTACGGTTTTGCAGTACTTACACATTTGAGCAATTTTATTTCATCCAAGGCTGTCTCTGTATAATGCTGGGCACTCTTTACAACCTTCATAGCAACAAATCTTTTTCCCCTTTAAAAAAATGCAAAATTTTAATAATATTATAAGCAGAGGTAATCATTATAATGAGATCTATCCAATAAATAGATTTAATAAGTTTTCCATTACAATAGTGCTTTTCAATTGCGAGGTAACAATTCACCACTAGGATCATGTTTCAAACCAATCTTTTTGTTTTGTGGTGCTTTTTTTCCTTCATAAAAATAAATTAGAGCCCTGGCTGGTGTAGCTCAGTGGATTGAGCGCGGGCCTGCAAACGAGACAATCGCGGTTCGATTCCCAGTCAGGGCACATGCCTGGGTTGCCGGCCGGTTCCCAGCAGGGGACCCACGAAATGCAACCATACATTGATGTTTCTCTCCTCCTCCTCTCCTTCCCTTCCCCTCTAAAGATAAATAAACAAAATCTTAAAAAAAAAAAAACTAGAAACTGTTATTCATCACATATAGTAAGGGTATTATCTTGTAACACTTCTGTTTCAGTACACACACACACAAAACACACATATATTTGTACTGGGTAGCAATGGTATTTTATGTTATAGGTCACAGCTTTAAAATCAGTCAGAAACCACTGATTTGAAAGGCCTATATGTTATTTTATATTTAAATGTTTTTCTGGTATGGGTGAATTATTGGGGGAAAAATGATCCTGATGTAATTTAAACGCATAAGCCTCAGATATAAAGGCAGAAGAAAAGTTAGTATTTTAAGATAAAAGAAAAATAAACTCCAAACTAAGGGGGAAAATGTCTAGCTATAGCAGGCAGGCCTATGCTAAGCAGTTATAACACACTCCAGACACAGGTGTGCCCCTCAGCCACCCCTTGTTATAAAATGAAGATGCTAAACTGGACTAGGAGTCATGTGCACACATGACAAGGAATACTTACTGCATATCCCAGCACAGCCAGACAGTAGAGAAGTGTCCCCATCCTAGCTTCCTAATAACATGATATCGGCCATTGAAGAGGTCTCCAATTTTCACTGGATGATAGCCACCTTTTATTAAAAAACATTTTTTTTAATTTCAGAAAAACAGTAATAGAATCTCTTCCTCTGTCAGTTCTTGATACCATTAAAGAAAGCCGTCAATAATAAAATCAGATTAAAATACATTTAATAATATAACATTTTTCAAGAATTACGTTTCATCAGAAGAAAAATGTCCATTGCCTTTTTACTAACTTAGCACAAAAAGGAAAGAAAACAAAACCAGCATTGTTCAAGTACAAATTAGGGACACTCTGCTAGGCACTTTATTCTCAAAACCATGCTCCATGAGGCTAAAGTAAACTGAAATATGTTGCAGGTGTTTCACAGGGAGGCAGGGGAGGGGCAAGGAAGAACGAAGTTTAATTTGGGGAAATGAGAAGTTAAACAACACAACCCAGACTTCCTGACCAATGTGGTTTTCAGAGCCCAATGCCTTCACACACAGGGAAAGCCTCTGAGAGGAGAGCATGCTGCAAATCCCAGACGTATTTGCTAATGAAACCATTTCTTCAAAGAACAAGTCATGTTTCATAGCACAAAGTATTTAGGAAACACTGAGTAGATGGTGTTATTCCTACACTGATGAAGTAGACAGTGTGAGAGACAGTAAGTATTTGGGGGCAGAAGCTGGCTCTGATTCCCAAGTCCATTCTCTGTTTATTCACCAGTGAGAAATTGTTACTCCATGTGTAACAACTGGAGGACTGTTTACAGTCAGTACAGAGGGAACACTTGATGGCTCAACTGAAAGCCATTTATGCCCTGGTGGGGCTGCTCGTTTGGTTAGAGCGTCAACCCCATACACCAAGGTTGCAGGTTCTATCGCTAGTCAGGGCACACACAAGAAGCAAGCAATGAGTGCATCAGTAAGTGAAACAGCAAATCGATGGTTCTCTCTCTAACACTCAGGAAATAAAAACACTGAAAGGAAAAGCCATTTACTACTTAACTGCATATTACTGCTAACCTTAAAGTCTCTAAATCTAAAAAACAATGTAATTATGCATAAAGAAAACAAACTTGTATCCCTATTGTACGTTTCAGATTTACATTCTCAAACAGCCAGAGTGTGTCCGTGTGAATACAAATACAGGAGCTCTCCTCTGTGACTGCAGCATAAGCACAGCTGTTCCTTTGCTCAATGGGACCTTGAAAGTTGAACCAAAGAAATTACTAGTTTGGTCCATTTCTCTCAGGAGCCCACAAGACAGCTAAGAATATTGTGGCTAAAAATAGGACAACTAAACAAAAGGGACATAAAAATAATTTTTATACAAATATAAAAACAACAGAAAGTCCTAAACACTTATCCTGACTTTACTTTGAAAATTTGACATAAATTTTTCAAATTTATATTCCAGAATTCTCATATTCAAACCCCTAGATTGTTACAGAAAACAAGTCCCCTCTGACCATTTTTCAGTCTCTTCTCACAGAATGGTAACGAACGCTTGTGCTGCCAGGTGAGTCTCCCAGAGCAGGCCACACTGGTCCACCCCACACCCAAGGAACCAGAGAAAACGGACACATCAGTAACTCTCAGAAAATGCCCCAATTCCCTCAGATTAGCAATACCCCACGGCCTGTAGTAAGGTCTAGCACACAAGGAATAAGGTCTAGCACACACAGTCACAGACTAGACAAGGACCCCTCCTCCTCATGCTGCTTTGCCAGCGGGCAGCACAGGACGCAGGGTGACCACAGTGCTGGCCCCAAACCCTGCTCAGGCCGTCAGGCAGCGCACCAGAGGGTCAAGCACTTGAAGATAATATGACTTAGGGGTTTGGTTGATATTTCTGTACCTCACTATACTACTTAATAAAAACCACTAATTTACCACCTATAAGTTTTCCTTTTATTCTTAAAAAGTAAAGATTAGATTATATTACAAACATGAGAGAACAAGAATGGACTGCCAAGTAATCATTAAGTTCCCTGCTCTGGCTTCTTCTCCAACTCCTATTCTTCCACCACACCCAAGAAGACTATAAAGTTCTACCTATACTATTCATAAGGCTGAGGGAAGACAATTCAAAACCTGGTTTTGCTGTTTGGGGGGAACTGTTGGCTGAAAATAAAGAAGATTCATTTTTCCTTGCCAAGCAATAGGTCCAATTTGTAAGAGAGAATCAAAAGTTCAGAAGTGTATCACAGACAAGAGTCCAGAAGAATTTTAAGCAGTGTCCATTAAAGAGAGTATAAAGTATTAATATAAATAATATTTTTGGCTGACCCCAGTTTCTCAGCCTCCTGATGGTGAGGCATTAAAAAGACTAAAGAAAGATTTGAGAATCATCTCTAACAGAGTCCTAGAAAAGGAAGGGATGCTAAAAAAAATTTGTCCACAAAACAACAACACAGGCAGATATTAAGTCACTGAAGATTTCAATACTCCCCCCAAAATTAACAGAACAAGCAGAGAAGCAGTAAGGATATGAAGATTAGATACAACATCGCCCACTTCACATAGTTGACATTTATTTATAAGACACTCAAAAGCAAATAGTATTTTCAAGTACATGGAAAATTTACCAGCACAGACCATATACCGGGCCATAAAACAAGCCTCACTAAAAACTGAAAGATTCATCACATAAAGCATATTTTCAGATGACAAGGAAATTAAATTAGAAACCAGTAAGCGAATATGCCCCCAAACTGGGAGAAGACCAACACACTTCAAAATAACCCATGAGATAAAAAATGAATCTAAAGGAAATAATAAAGATTTTACACCACATAAAAATGAAAACACAATACAGCAGAATCTGTGAAATGCTGCTACAGCAGAACTCAGAGGAAAATGCAGAGCACTAAGTGCCTTTACTAGATAAGAAGATCGCAAATCAATGTCCTCAGTTTCAACCTTAAATAACTAGAAGAGCGAATGTAACCCAAAGTTAGTAGAAGAAAATAATCAAGATATAAGCTGTAATCAGTAAAAAAAAAAAAAAAAAAGCATAAAACCAGCCCTGGACGGGTGGTTCACCGGGTCGGCACGTCATTCCCTACACCAAAAGGCTGTGTGTCTGATCCCAGTTCAGGCACATGCCTAGGTTGCAGGTTGGATCCCCGGTGGGGCATGTAGGGAGGCAATCTATTGATGTTTCTCCCTCACACTGATGTTCCTCTAGCTAAAATCAATAAACATATCCTCAGGTGAGGATTTTTTTTAAGCCTAAAAACAATAGTGAAAAAAATTCCAGGAAACCAAAAGTTAGCTCTTAGAGAAAATTAAAATAAAGCAATTGAGATAAAACATTAGCAACTCTTCAACAACACTAAATGTTAGTTAGCTTCCTCCTCAGTGGAAGAAATGCAGGAATTTCCTTCACTATTCCTTCAACATGACTGCGTGCTTGGGTTTCCATAAAATTTCCATAATAAAAAGATGTCATTTTTAACCTTGGTAAAGAGACATATTATCTCCCTCTGGAGAAGAGGACAGGTTGATTAGCTGTCCAGTATTATAAACACCTCCCCAAGAACAGAGTTTGACAGGTTTGGTTGCAGGACTTCAAAAGAGGGATTTTTCCTACATTTAGAATTCCTTAGCTATGACACAAAACAAAGGTGTGTAAATCCTCCTCCTGGACCTGCTCCACATGGCTCCTGTTGGATTTGGAGGGGAAAAAAATAGTACTAACATCAAGTGCAAGCTGCTTACAGTGCTGTGAGAGCAGTCCTTGGTCTTTGACCCACGAGTCTTATGTCTTCTGCAAGCGTCCACGAATCAGTGGCCAACTAACCTATTGGCTTGCAAGAAGGTTAAAATCTCAGAAAGGTCTTGGTTCATGGTAAAATTAACTTTGGCACCAGGAAAAGACTCTTATTTACAATGGCTGGCTTGTTTTCACCTTATGAAAACTGTCAGTCTTAGAATCACTGCATTTCCTTCCTTGCTCTGATAACTAAGAAACGTAAGGGAAATTTGCAACACTCTCAATCTGTACATATCTCTATTAATAAATTTTTTGTATTAAACGTTAATCTGACTTTAATTATTTCCACTATATATTTCCCTCATCTACTTGTCTATTGTATTCTATGTACTTATTTGTAAAACGTCTTAAGTATGTAAAGTGTTAGGATACAAATAACAGCTACTTATCCCCTGGGATAAGAGGCTCAAAGAATGCTTCCTCTTAGGAAGTGTTTCTTGGTTTTCCTGGCTGAGGAGGAGACCCCTTCCCCACTGCTTCTTTTCTGTACCTCAATAACACCTCACTATGTTCTATTACACATCTGTTACAAAACACAATACAATGTATTTCCACTATTCATATTCTCAGGTGTCTTTCCCAGAAGATTATACACTTGGAGGATGGGGACAGTATTCTGAGCATACAGTAACTGAATCACAACAGACAAATACATGAGAAAGCATAAGAATATGAGGGGAGGGACAGAAGTGAAATTTGAGGGAAGTTGTTCTCTGTTCCATGGCATAATGTGAGGGAAAAGTGGAAAAGGTTTCCCAGGATAAAATAAGGGATAAAATTAATCTGTGCCCTGACCAGTGTGGCTCAGTTGGCTGAATGTCGCCCTGCAAAGCGAAAGGTCGCCAGTTCAATTCCAGGTCAGGGCGTGTAACTGGGTTGCAGGCCAGGCCCCAGTTGGCGTATGTCTAAGAAGCAACCCATCAATGCTTCTCTCATACACCAACGTTTGTCTCCTCTTTCTCCCTCCCTTCCCTGTCTCTAGAAATAAATAAATAAATAAATATCTTTTTTTAAGAAAATTAATCTGTTAATATTATACTCTTAACAGAAAAACAGGAAGGCCCAGAAGAAAGACAAGATGACATGAAAGAAATTACAACAGCAAGCACTCATGTTTCCAGTAAAATAAACAGTTCTGAGTAGTAGCACATTGGGATCAAACTGGGGAAAGCCCTGAGAGTTGTGTGGGCTTAGATTTTCACTGCTAACTCTGAAAGATACTTGGGAATACAGTACATCCTTAGACAATTTCCTGTCATTTCTCATGATCACAAGGGAAAAAAA